GCTTTCATCATCAAATGCGGTAACCATACGTTATAAGGAAAAGGTAAAGCTGAGGCAGGAAACACTGAATTTAATCTCTCCTCTACTCCAGAATTTTGTCTTTGGGGATTGTTTTAAGTAAAAGTGCTAGGGATCAGTTCCCTCAGGTTCCATTAACCTAAACATTTCTTCCAGGGCTAGTTTCCAAACGAAAGCTTTGATCAAGTACTGTAAAGTGTAAACAGGAAATAAGGGGAAGAACCATGCACTTCTTTTTTTCACTTCCCACTTCCCAGTTTCTAAGAAACATCAACATCAAAGGGTTAATTTGAGTTCCAAATATGAAACCGTGGACCTTATCGTTCATAAACTATTAATTTGTTTGTTTTATTCTGAAAAGCCAGGAATCTGCTATCGCCCTTCATTTCCATTCATTGTGATCTCAACATTTGCCATTAATTGTGATCTCAACAAACTAATAATTTGTTTGTTTTATACTGAAAAGCCAGGTATGGAACTCCAACATATAGAACACTGTGCCAGCTAACATGTACTGCGTATATATATTATTCTTATGTATGATAGTTAAGGGAGGAGTACTGAAGTTTACTTTGCCAATATAGTAAAACAAAAAAAATTTGATGTCATTCTCATCAGGTCTTTGTTTAATCTAGAAAATGAGCAATGTCCACTGGTTCTGTTTTCACTGGCCTTCCTGAGTTGAATAAAAACATCTTCTTTCTTTTCGTTTTCTTTTCTTCGTGTGTTTATTTTAATATACCATTTGTGATGGCTATAGTTTATCAATACCCAACGGAAGGAAGAAACAGGCAACCACAAAAAAAAAAAAAGTCTCAAAAGTCTACCCAAAGAAATGTTGATAGATGGCGAGTCCATATTTACCAAGGGTTATTGGACCGGTCCATCTGCCGATTATGGTTCAACCGACTTTATCAGAAGCGGCTCCTTAAAGATGAAACCTAGTAGGATTCAGCATCTACCAAGTAATCTCATGCCTATAAATAGGGTTGGTCACACCACAATTGAGGTACGCTATATCTAGCACCAATTCGTATACACATATGGAATTCTACGGTAAAACCAGGAGTGAAATTCCAGGCTTCGTCAAGTGGCACACCCAGTGAGACCCAAAAACTAGGGTTTGTGTCACCAAGCTTTCCTAAGCTTTCTAAACTTCCTCAATCTTTGATCGTTGTTGCAAGTTAGGGTTCCCCTATAAACGGAATGGCCGTAATTGACAAACCACAATCCAGTATGGCATCAACCGCTAGGCTGTCAAGCCCTAATGACAACGAAACCCTAGCAAAATTTCATGAGAAGCAAAGGCGAAAAAAGAACGACCAACGGTCGAGGAAAGAAAAAAGCCCCGCAAGGCCATCCAATCCCAGGGGAGAAAGGGAGGAGGACCCGAACAATCATCGTAGGGACCCCGATCCACATAATGAGGAACGGCTGACCGAAATCGAAGCGGAACTCAAAAAGTTGAAAGACGACAACAACCTCAATTAGAGGAAAAAAAAATATATATTGGAGGAATACAAACGTTGTTGCTTACTAGGACTGCCTGATCCTACAGATCAAGAGCTACATGATCTGATTGATAAGAAAGAAGCACGCAGGACGTTGACTTTGCTTGAAAAGAAAAAAGGCAAACGCAAAGTTTCGGGTGGAAAGGAAGAAGAAGGTCATAAAGAAATTTCCAGCCATGAGACCTCCCATGTAGAGTTCTCCGCTATTCCCGGTCCAACCTTCTGGGACTCATTCGGAAGAACATACCCGGCATTCTATACAGCACTCGAGCAGTTTGCAAAGGAACGTCGATGCAAAAAACAATCTCGCAACTAAGACCGCCCAGGTTCACCTAGTGTCGAGTTGTTGTCCAAAAGAGATTAGGAGCCCTTACCGAAAGGCAATGTACACTCCCGCGTAGGACCCTTGACAGGGGCACTTAACGAGTCCATATCCACCACCGATATTGGATCGGCCCATTAACTGAGTAAGGGACCCGACCGACTCCAATAGGGCGGCAACATGACTAAATCCTAGTAGGATTCGGGTTTCCTTAGGGTATTCCTAAGCCTTTAAATAGGGATGAAGGCACCACAACTGAGGTACGCTATCTCTAGCACCAATTCACATATACACATTATTTCGCAACCCTATTTTCTGACTTAAGTTTCAGAGTGTCTACCTTCGGGAGACCCCGAGACTCTATTTTACAGGAAACCCTAATCGGAATTCCACCACCAAGCTGGAGGCGCAATTCCAGGCATCATCATATAGTAACTATCCAAAGCCATTAGCTCTTCTACCAATGGGGTACTGACATCATCGGCCCCTTTCCAAAAGGGGCAGGAGGACTACGATGGGTTATCGTAGCGGTGAACTATTTCACTAAATGGGTAGAAGCGAAACCGTTGGCCTCGATATCTGGGAGGAAAGTATTGATTTTTTTCTAGCAGAACATGGTTTGCCGCTTTGGAGTGCCCAAAATCATTGTGTCATACAACGGGACACAATTCGAGAGTGATCCTTTCAAGTCATGGTGTGCTGAAATGCAAATCGAGCGTCGTTCTCTGCGGTCGCTCACCCACAGGCAAACGGACAAGCCGAATCCATCAACAGACCATCTTGCATGGGATTAAGACAAGACTGCAAAACGCAAAGGGGTATGGGTCGACGAGCTATCGCATATCCTATGGGCTTACCGTACCACAGCTCATTCCTCGACAGACGAAACTCCTTACAGTCTAGTATACGGAATGGATGCTGTACTCCCCGTCGAAATTGGCCTTGTCAGTCCATCAACTTCGTCGAAGACACCAACGATGAAGACATTTTGCCTAACCTTGACCTGCTCAAAGAACGGCGAGATGCCGTAAAAGTCCGAGAAGCCAAGTACAAAGGAATCCTCAGAAAGTACTATAATAGGCGAGTCAAAAGCACTGACTTCGTGATCAGGGACATGGTACTTAGAAAAAATGAAGCCAGTTGAGCAGAGGCTCCTGGAAAGTTATCAGCAAATTGGGAAGGATCCTAATCATCCAAGTTTCCCCTTCTGGCAGTTATCGCCTGCAGGCAACGGATGATACGGGAACCATACTCCCCTAATGGTGGAACATTCAGAACCTCCGCAGGTTCTATGTTTAAGTTTTTTACATGCTACTTGCTAATTTATTTGCTCTATGTGATTTGCTGTTTTTATTCCCTTATATGTAACACTAACCCGGGTCCTCGGGTAATTATTCAATAAAAGTCATTACATATTTTTCATATTTCGAATGTGTCGACATTATTTCGTGACTAGTCCCCGAGATAGACGCCCTCTTTGGGGCCATCCTCGAATCGAGGAGCTTTCCTCATGCTAGCCGTAGATCGCGGTACTTAAGTATTGAAGAACCCGTATCCGATTCTCGAGAGAGAGCTGTGTACTTTAATCTGGTCATTAAGCGCTATATACATTATACTCGAGTATGTGATAACAAACGACGCCAACAAGGCTCGAATTAAATATGCTCTCACACAACGTGCGGGGTTGGATAAATACACTTATTTGTCCTTATATCTTAAGATTTTTTTCCCTTAGGGTTAAATTGAGATGGCTTAATAACGCCAGAGAAGCCTAGCACCCTAAGCTGGTTAATACACTGGCTTAGTTTGTCCCTTAAATCCACGATTTTCCAGTCTTGCTTGTTCAGCGGCAGCAGGTATTCCTCTGCAGCTGTCGTCTCTCTAGCTTCTTCACCTTCATTTGGGTCATCAAGAATGGGAAGCAAAATCTCACGGTCTACCAATATATTCTGCAAAATGGCAGACTATTTCGAGAAGAACTCAGCTTCTTTGGTTCTTTTCTTCAACAGCTCTATTGCAGCAATGAAACATACTATCCTAACTTGTATTTGCTTCTCGACAAGTGAAAGGATGTTGAACTTTTCGAGGAACTATGGGAACACCACGATTCCTTCACGGCGTCTCAGTTAAGCATTCTCCTTTTTCAACTGAGCCATTTCTTCACTTACATTCGCTTCCAGTATCAGGAAATCTTGGAAATCGAGATCATATTGGTAGACCGTTGACCTTATCGTTCATAAACTATTAATTTGTTTGTTTTATTCTGAAAAGCCGGGAATCTGCTGTTGCCCTTCATTTCCATTCATTGTGATCTCAACATTTGCCATTAATTGTGATCTCAACAAACTAATAATTTGTTTGTTTTATACTGAAAAGCCAGGTATGCAACTCCAATATAGAGAACACTGTCCCAGCTAACGTGTGCTGCGTATATATATTATTCTTATGTATGATAGTTATGGGAGGAGTACTGAAGTTTACTTTGCCAATATAGTAAAACAAAAAAAATTTGATGTCATTCTCATCAGGTCTTTGTTTAATCTAGAAAATGAGCAATGTCCACTGGTTTTGTTTTCACTGGCCTTCCTGAGTTGAATAAAAACATCTTCTTTCTTTTCGTTTTCTTTTCTTCGTGTGTTTATTTTGATATACCATTTGTGATGGCTGTAGTTTATCAATACCCAACAGAAGGAAGAAACAGGCAACCGAAAAAAAAAAAAAAGGTCTCAAAAGTCTACCGGAAGAAATGTTGATAGTGAAATTTCACCTGCACACCACAAAGCAATATTATAGTTTAGAATGGGAACGGTTTCATGCTTACGTTATCACCAATTGGGAGAGTGTTCAAATTTTATTTTCAAATCACAGCAGGGTCTATTCTTTAAAAAAAAAAAAAAAAAAACGATGCAATGCAACAATGTGAATGTATAGGGTCAATGGTTGTGCATACTCATCAGTTCATACTTCATCGGACCGATTCATTACATGAAACAAAAATTGAAAAAGAATCCTTATAAGCCTTCTCGCCATCAAAATAAAAGATGGAAGATTTATATGATCAAATGGTGTATTGGTTAGAATATAATTCTGAAACAGGATCTGTATTATGTTTCTTTAGCAACTGATAGCATCAAACTAGGAATAGTGAGATAAACTGATTGACCTCTCAAGTTTAAAGATGTGTTAAGAGAATCAATGCACATTCTGCTGCATCATTTGAGGTAACTATGGGGATACAGAAATCACCTGATACATCAACTCTCTTTCCTTTCAGCTTCCAGCAATATCCTTAAAAAGCATCAGCCTTTTGTGATCCGAGTATTCCAATCTAAAAACTGAAATGTTGTATGATCAACAAATCCATGTGTTACTGTCATCTGAGTTGCTTACTATTTTTTTATTTTCTTGAAAAGTCAGCAATCTGGTGGCATATGCCTTTCATTTATATAAAAATGAATTTTCTGCACTCCAACCATCAGTGATGAACGAAGAAAACAGAAATGAGCATTAATATCTCCTTCCCACATTAATATAAGATCCTTTGTAATTTGGTTTGATTCATCTCATGAGTTTGGCTTTTGCACAGATTCTTCTCAACTTCTTGTTCCCTTTTGACGTCTTCTTTTCTTAACCCCTATTTGTTCCCTATTTCAATCTTTCTTCTTTTCCGTTTGCTGCCTTTCAGAAACCATTTGGATTAACTCGCCTTCATCAGACTTATTTCTCCAACGCCTCATTTTCTGAACCAATCTCTCGGTTAAAGTAACATTCTTTCAAAAAGATTCTCCAACAACAAAATGTATCGCCGTCTCCTTGGACAACTTCGTTCTGCCGTGCACCATGTAAATTTTATAGTGGAAGATGTACCTCCTGCTTCCCAGGACCATGTTATGTTAAAGGTACTGAGGTTTCACCTAAGGAATCTCAAAATGTTTGTTCTCTCCACCCAAAAGTTGGAAAATGATGCAAGTGTGGAATCTTTCTTGGTCAAGATGGAAGAAGCTGCTCTCAGAATAGCAAAGTTGGCATGCTGTGTCCGCGTTGTTCATGGTAAGGGTTCACTAATTTTTAGCGGTCCCCTTCCCGCCGTGGATTATGAAGAAGACCTTAATCATTTTGAGGAACAAGCTGCTGAATTGTATGTCACTCTCTTGGATACAACACGGGAATCAAGGTCCCTCTCGGCAGATCAGGTCTTCGAAATCATCAACTCAGCTCAGGAGAATCTACTGGAATTCAGGAATTCAGGAGGGGAATATTTTATCCCTAGTGTTATTAAAGTTGCAATCGAAGCCTCGGGATGGCAGATGGCATTCTTGGATAGCCTCATGCGCTTTGCCCTGAGGACAAGTTTTGAACTCAAAGAGGATTTCTTGGCTCATGTTGAAACTGCTGCTATCTATGCTGCATATCTTCTTTGTAAGGGTGAAATCTTGGGAACACTTCAATATGAGAAAAGTGTTGAAGAAGAAGTGGTTTTCAAGATTTCAACATTGATCCAGAAGCTGAAGCCAATCAATCCTCAGGTCTACAACACATACTCTGAAGCACTGAGTAGCTTAAAGTCCGCGGCATTATTACCAGCTCCTACTGATCAAGGCATGGATGATGGAGTCTTTAATGCAATAAAGAATCTCCTTCATTCTCTCATGTCTATTCTTCAGGAGGCGCTAGAACTCAATAATCATGCGCTGATCCCTGCAAAAGATAAACTGCAAGAGCTATATGAAGGACTGCAAGAGCTATATGAAGGACTCAGATCCTTGACAACAAAACTTGTTCTCAAGCAGCAGCAGCCAGACAAATTTGAGGTGAAAATGAAGGAGCACATTGGACCTGTGGTATGTGATGCCGGAGTTCTCATTTTCTCATTGTACCAGAAACATGAGCAACTAGACCTTGGGCTTCTTCAAGCTTTGTTAGAAGCAATCAAGACTAACCTGGCAGAACTCCAGGAGAAATATCCACTAGTTCCAGCATGTAACCTTCGGAACTCTACTCAGTTGGCTTTTGCCGACTTTGTATTGGAGAAACTGACAGAGCTGGCGAGTGGCAACATCAAACCAATTGCTAAGGCTTATGCTCAAAGTTTCCAAGAGAAGCTCATCCCCTTGAGATCTTTCTTAGGTGAGATTAAGGAGTTGCGCCATGATCACGAGGAACTCCATGCTCTTTGGGATCGTATTTTGGAGGTGTTATATGCGGTGGAGGACATCATCGACAACTTACTGGTTAGCGATTTTCCAGATTCTGTTTCAGCATTAATTAATATTATCTTGGAAGAGGTTAGTGACATTCAGTCGAAAATCAAAGTCAGGAGACCAGAAATAAATCTGAGGGAAGTAAATCTGACTCTGGATCAGGTGCAATCAACAACTCCCTCAGTGACGAAGGAGACTGTAGGCTTTGATGATCATGCACTCTTAATCATTAACCAACTCAACAGGAGATCAGAAAAATTGCGGATTGTGACCATTGTGGGCATGCCTGGACTAGGCAAGACCACTTTAGCTGAAAAGGTTTACGATGATTCTTCTGTCTCAACCCGTTTTCCTGTCAGGGCATTCACAACTGTTTCACATACATGTGACAAAAAGAAAGTTCTGACTCACCTTTTAAAACAAGTTTTAAAACAAGTTTCTCCCAAAAAAGATTCTGAGATAAATTCTGATACAACAGCACGTGATGTAGCAGAAAAGTTGTGGCGCAGCTTGAGAGGAAGAAAATATCTCATTGTTCTGGATAACATATGGGAAGCTGAATCGTGGGATAGCCTGAAAGAAGCATTCCCTGATGACCATAAGGCGAGCAGAATTTTGTTTACAAGTCGCTATCATGATGCAGCTCCTCCGGATATGCTCGATGAACAACCATATGAACTTAGACCATTTACCAAAACAGAGAGCCTGGCTTTACTACAAAGGTTGTTGTTTGGTGGAAATAATTTGCCTACTACTGAGTTAACTGCTCTGGGGTTACAAATTGCTGAAATTTGCGGTGGGTTACCCCTCACCATTGTCATAGTAGCTGGAGTTTTAGAATCCAAAAGGCCAGAGGAGTGGAAGAAAATCCTGGATAGTTTGAGCTCAGGCAAATTATCAGAACGCTGTAGAGACACACTTGAACTCAGTTACAGAAATCTACCTGAGTATCTGAAGCCATGCTTTTTGTATTGTGCGCTACTTCAAGAAAATGGTCAGGTCTCAGTCAGGAGGTTGCTTCATTTATGGATGGCTGAAGGATTTGTTCGAAAAGTTGAGATGAGACGCCTGTCAGATGTTGCTGAAGAGTATTTGAATGGTTTATTAGGGAGAAGTTTACTCATGGTTGCCGAACAAAGAACAAATGGCAAAGTGAGATCATGCCGCTTTCATGACCTGGTTCATGAATTTTGTTTGCAGAAAGCCAAAGATGAACAGTTTTTCTATTCTACAGGCAGAAGGAATAGTGAGATGTCAACAACAGTCAATGAGCCACACAATCTACGGAGGCTATGGATCCACTCTGATGCAAAGCATTTCATGGAAGCGAATGTACATTATTGTTCAGGAGTTCGTTCTGTGCATTTCAATCCTGATGAAGAATTCATTGCCAGAGACATTACATTGGTGATCAGCATCTGCAAACTTCTACGAGTGTTGGATTTGGAACACATTTGTTTAAATGAGATTCCACGAGAAATAGGGCAGATTGTTCAGTTGGTATACCTAGCAATTGGAGGCTGCCAGGGGAAAATCCCAGCGTCAATAGGTAACCTCTATAATTTGGAAACTTTTACTCTGATGTCAGATATATTTCTTGGAGATACACCGTCACTCCCACCTAGTTTCTGGAATCTACGGAAACTAAAGCATTTTTACATAATGTTTACTGAATTCTGGTGTGTGTTGCCCGTGGAACATCTTGACAGAGCACCTGAACTATCTGAGTTGGATAGAATTTCTGGGGTCATTTTGCCTCATGACTGGAGAATGCAAGAGGCGATGAAAAAGTTTCCAAATATCCGTAAATTGAAGTGCAAATTTCAGGGATTTGATGACTGTAGAGAAAATCTTGTGGAGATTGTAGTTCCTGACTTTTTGAAGCAACTAGAATCACTTCATATGGCAATAGATCAACTTAAAGAGCCTGAAGGAATCATGTTTGAGTTTGGTTTGCCCTCAAATCTGAAGAAATTAGCATTGACAGACTTTCTTTTATCTGGGAAGGCTCTTTCAATCATTGGAAAACTTCCAATCCTAGAAGTCCTCAAACTAAACATGGTACGGTTCGAAGGGGGTACATGGAGAATGGAAGAAAAGGAATTCCCCAACCTTAGATTCTTGAGATTGGATTCACAGGACCTCCGTTGGTGGAGTGCTTCTGAATCTGACGATCAGTTTGGGTGTCTTGAGACGTTGGAAATACAGTCATGTGACCAATTGATGGAGTTGCCTTCATGTCTAGGAACCATTTTGATGCTTCAAACGGTGGAAGTCATCGATTGTCCTGGAACTGTTGTAGAGTTGGTGAAAGGGATTGAGCAAGAACAGGTGGACAACGGTAATGTAAAACTGAAGATCATTATAGGAACATCGGATTCTGATCTGATTTCTTGGTTGGAAAATTCAGTTGAGTGAGACCTTTTTTGTATTTGTTCTGTGTTTTTGGATTGATTTTGACACTCTTTTGTAACCTTGTTGAAAAACTGTCATTAACAAGAATCCATCTCATGGTTCACTTATTTTTGGAGATAATTTTCTTTCACGAAGTTAATAAGATTCTACTCCATTTGTCCCGAAATCATAGTCCATTTTTTTTTCATGCGGTTAATAAGAATCTCCTATTCTATCCCAAAATATTATCCTATTGGTAGTATGATGGAGTATATGTATGCAAATCTGTTAAGATTGATACAGTGTACTCGAGAGCTAACTATAATTCAGTTTAATACCATGATCCAGTCCATGATTGATGCTGCAGTTTTCCTCCCTACCATTCTCGAGTTCATGAATATGAGCAAGTTACAATCATCATCATGAATAAGCATGCATAAGTAGAGATTATTTGGTATAATTATCTTGTGGAACCAGATATATTTTCACTTCCTTAGATATGTTCCATGAATCTGTACAAGCCTCAAGTCTAAACACAATTTGATAATACAATGTCAAATTTAAAATGCCAAGTGCCTCGCCTTAATCTGATTTGATCTTCGCAAACCAAATATGTGAAAGCACTGACAAATTTTCAAACTGTGATTTCCGAGTCTTACAAAAAAAGGTATGTACGACTTTGGCAGTTGTGTGTAAATAATGCTGAGAATTGAAACTTACAGGGAGGAAGGGAAGACCTTAATTGTGAACAAGTCACAACTAAACAAAGAAGAATTTGATCCAGTTCGTCAATTCCAAAACAAATTGCCTACAAAACAAGGAAAAACAAACTATACAAAAGGCAGGAGACTCACCTTGGATCAGGTGTTGTTTCAGAGAAGTTGTTTTCGCAGATTTGCCTAAAACCAAAACACTCTTCATAGAATGGCTTATTTGGAAAGAGAGGCTCTTAACAAAGGACAGGTTGGCATGTATGTTCATCACAGGGGTAGACCCCCTGTGTGCATGGTGCAAATCTGTCCCAGAGGGCCACAACCTCTTTTTTTAATGTCAAATGTCTTCCGAAATCTTTATGAGAATACAGAGCTGGATGGGAGTAAATGTCCCCCTGCAATGGACTGCTTGGAGGAGAAGGGCCATGTTTGTATGAAAGAAAGCAAGGTTAAAGTATAGAATTTGGGCTGCAGCTCTAGTAGTTGTTTTATATTATATTGGTTTAATTCATTGAAACCTCCCTGTGATATTCCATAGTACATGATAATCCTCTTATGGTATAATAATATCCAATGAAACTCCTTGCACTTTGTCCGAGATTTGTAACATGGATATCACTTGCTAAAGTTAACGTTGTTAATTAAGTTTCCGGTTTTAACCCTTTACTTTTAGCATCTTTTTCTTCTTTTTCCTTTTATAAATAATTTTCGTCATTTTTTTCTTCTTTCATGTTTAGTTCTTCGAGCTGATTTGTTTTTCTTCTTTTCCCGTAAACATGATGCAAAAATTTTCCCGTTTTATCTCTATATATTTAGACATACATTTTATACATTTTTTTCCAAAGTTGATATTTTCTCCCTATGAAAATTTCATTTTATTTTGTTCTTCCTTGAACCATATTGTCAAATTCCATTACCATCATCAAAATTTAGAAATCAAGATGATGATCTCCGGATACATCCACAGAACAATAACGGACTTATGGATTCTCATGGCAGTAATAAAATCACTCAAAAACAATCCAATTACTATTAAAAACTATAAGCAAAAGAAAATTGAGTTTTCTCCTTAGGAAATTATTCGGAAGAAAGTGGAAGAACTAAGAAGCCCTAATCATTTTCTAAACAATAAATTTGAAAATTGACTTTTATGGTTCTTCATCTCATAATAATCTCCATAGCCACCATGATCCCCAAATCAGTAGCGACTAAGAGCTCAACCCGTCTCTAGTGACCATCGTCAACAGGCGACCACCATCAATTTCAGATCAGAAGATTTTCAAGACCCAGGTGCAAAGGTTATCTTATCCATACAACCATCACATGTGAGAGAGGGAAGGGATGCGAGAAAGAGAAAGAAAGAGGGAATAGAGGAAGAAGATGGAGAGGAGAGGGAAGCCATTGGTGGTTGCAGAGATGAGAAAAAGAGGGAGAAAACTAATAAAGGAAGAAGGATTTTTTGAGTATTAAAATTATAAGTCAAATTATATTCACAAAGTCAAGTTACAAGCATCACGCGTGAGGTGCAGTCAAGGCTATTTTTAACTCCTTCCGTCAATTTACTAACGTCAGATAAAGCATGGGATTTCATTAGATATTATTATACCACAAGGAGATTACTACAAGGAGATTATCATGTACTTTGGAATACCACAGGAGGATTTTAATGAATTAACCTTATTATATTTGGGAGGAAAGGAACAAGCGTATTTTTGCGAGAGAAAGCAGGCAAGTTGAAGCTGTGGTAGAATCAAACAAGACCTCTACTTGCGCATTAAAGGGTGCTATACAAGGAGATTGACTACTAGGAAATTTCTATTTTGAATATTTTTTTTCAATGTGTTGACTGATGTGAATGGAAGTAAAACTCCTGTACAAAAGCAATTTTGGCTGTTTATATAAAAGGTTTACATTTTCCCAGAAAAAAAAAGGAACAAATATCCCTTCCTTTAAACAGACATTCTGTAGTTACTGCATGCATCGGTTATTGAAAGACTAGAAACAGACATTCTGTAGTTACTGCATGCATCGGTTATTGAAAGACTAGAAGTAGATCAAACGAGCAAATGACGAGAACTGCACAAGTTAAGACGAGAACAGAAAGTAGAGACAACAGCCCAAAGCAGAACAACATGGCAATCATGAAAAAATGCGGTTGGCACAGTCAGATGATTTTCTTTTTTTGTCATCAGCAAGTACTTTGTTTAAAGAAATGACAGATTCTAACCAATGTAATTCATAATTACAGGAAAAGCTAACGAGACATGGTTAAACTTGACAGGGGCGGACGGCAGCACTGTGAGACCTGTTGCTAGGGAGTATGTTGAAACCTACAAAACAAAAAGCCTATGAATAACATCTATTCCTACTCACCTAAAGCATTTGACTACTTTTCTTCTCTTCTGGAGAGTCAACATACAGTAACTTGACTGGGGATTATTAACTATCGACTTTGAGAAGTTGTGTATATATCACCAGCAGATAAGAGTTTACCCATCATCATCATAATCTTCTTCTTCCTCATCAAACCGCTGATTCAAATTCGCAAAGTGAAGAGGATCAATAGCCATTGACTTCATGTCAGCAACAGACCAACCAGGATACTCTTCATCTTTTGACTCAGCTACAGGCTTGGACAATGTGGCAGAAGGAACACCAGTTGCTGTAACTATGTCTGTATTATCATTTAGGTCCATGTTAAGATCAAAGTTTCTACCTGGCACTTGAGCAGTCTCCCCTACCAAAGACTCCTTTCTATCATCTGAAAATGACTCGTCATCCAGACTTTCTGAGTTTCTCCTTATTTTCTCTCCATTAAATTGGAATCCGTCAGGATCATCTTCAAACTTCTCATCATGCATTGTCGATTCTTTCTCTGACACTCGAGGTCTTCCACGGCCTCTTCCTCTTCCTCTTCCTCTTCCCCGCCCCCTCCCACTGGTGTGCACACTCTCAACCTGCCATGTGAGAGATTTGAAAATTAGTAAAATGCACGATTTGAACCTACATCACTCAAGAAAATTTGATATTGTCTCTCTCATGCTCTTCTTTTCATTATTTTATCAAGAGTAAAGGCTTAAAAAGGATATTATCAGACTAAAGACACAAGAAAGAGCTTCAGCAAAAAGCAAATTCATATATGCTTAGTCATTAAGAGGAAAAAACCGAATGTATGTATAAGAAAATAGGAATAGTTGAACGTCATATATAATTTATCTTTATGAGTAAAATTGATATTGCACCAAAAAATAAACACAAGAATCATTTGAAACAACACTTCACTCACCACATGGCTCCTCTTGGTTTCATCATCACAGTTGTTACCTTCATCTTCAAAAGTTTTCCTGCATGATTGAAATGATAAGCCCCCATTTGCCCCCAAAAAGACACAAAGTAAATAATAAAAACAGCATGCACAAATTTCAAACCTTTTCCTAGCAGAACCCTCGACCACAGCTTCTGAACCACCTAAATCTGGAACCCTATTTACTATATCTCTCAGAAAATCAAACACATTAAAGCTCTGTACACACTGTTTCCTGTAAGATAGACATCAAAATTGAGTATTTGAAGAATAAATAAATTAAGAAGGGTGATCGACCCAGGCATTCAAAAGGTCAAAAAAAAAAAAAAACACAACAACAACAACAACAAACAAACAAACAACCTAATCAAGAAAAAGGCCTTACAAGTGTAGTGAATTAACAGTTTTTGCACCCTTTTGAACAGTAACATCGTAAGTCCGGTCACAAAGATCTTGTAAGAACAATTCCAAAGCTTTCGCTGCAAGTTCAAAAATCGTCAATAACAACTAAGCCTTAGCGTTCAAAAGCATAACTCGCATAAAATCCTGAACATAAATGTCGTAAAATGGGAAACACTTTAAATTATTGCCCAAAACAAATACAAATTTATAACAGCCAAACAAATTTTCTTCTAACCACTTACATACTAGAAGGGGAACAGCCATTGCAATCTTTCCCACGTCTTCATCAGTTTGCATAATCTTCTTGATCCTAGCCTGTGAAATCAAGGATTATCAGACACCGTAGATCAATTTAAGGACTGCAAGAACAGGTCGCAAACGTTGCGCCGACCAATTAGAACACACCAGGTCGTCTAGTGACTAGAGGTCATCTGATAAAGCTTCTCCATGTTTTGAAGATTCATAACAAAGCTTATCAGCTCCTAAATTCACTAAACCATAATCAAACATCTACAAATTTCATTTAGCCCACATTAGCTCGACCCATAATCTGCCCCACAATAACCACCCGCTTCTACCGTCTTTATACTCTACGCCGCATCTTGCTCACCCGAAAATCAAACAAAAACAGTGAATACCTCAAACAAACAATAAATTTTGCTATAGCGAAGTTCAACAATTTGCCAAAACTCAGGCAACGGCCACTCCTGTTTTCACTTTCCCCAAAGAATCCCTACCCGCGAACTTTACTACAAGCAAAACAAAAAAGAGAGCCCCAAACTCTAACGGAACATCTAGATTTCTTCATACAACGTGTTGTGAACTTAAAGCACATAACAAAATGAAACACCAAAAAAGAAAAAGGAAAAAAAAAAACACAATACCCAAAAAACATAAACTCAGAATTTAAAAATACTCACGGCTGGGAAACGGGTATCAAGCTTCTTCCTCATGGCGATTCAAAACCCTAGAAAATCCCGGGTTCACAACACATATGCACGTATTACGTCTGCAAGAAGGGGGGATTTCTCTCTGCGGAAGAAGAATATACCTTAATAATACTTCGCTGCTTTTTAGAGGAACAGTTTGATTTCGTTTTGGAAATTTTACGTAGGCGAAATCAGAATTTTCTTTCTCTCTTTTATCTAATGTGGACTGAAACGAAAAGGGTTCGAATAAAAAATAAAATAAAATAAAAAATGATTGAACAGTTGGAAGAGGAGTTTGACTGGATTCGGATTTATCGGGAGAAAAAAGGTACTCAGAAGCAGAAGAAGAACTGTTCGTTCTCTTCTCTCGCTTTATTGTGTTATTCATTATTTTCATTTTACAATAATGTCCCTACGGATTTATTGTATTGTGCATGTGATCCAGATCTTTTAGAAAAATTCTTTTTCCATGCAACATAATCTATTAATTTCAATTTCTTTTTTTATACTTATTACTCCAGTTCCAAAATATTTGTCTAATAATTCGGTTTTTCACTATAAATGCAATTTATGGTAAAAAAAATATAAATAAAAAACTAGACAATCATTTTGAGACGTAAGAAATATATCTCATCCAACTAACCAACATCCAAACATGTAGATTCTTTTTTTTTTTTTTCCAGCTTAGTTTGAAGGCAATGTTGATTTTAGTGGTAAGCCACAACCAGGAGTGATGAGAATCATGTAGTTTCCCATCGAAGTCTTCAAAGTTTAAAGATAAGAAAGTGTTCTCATCTGTTGGAGGACCTAGGTTGCTTCCATTCAAGAAGAGGGGTAATTTTGCTACAAGAAGTTGGTCTTGCTTGAAACAGAAATCATCTCAAACATCTAGCGGAGACAGTGAAATTGAATTACTAAATCATCAAGATAATGAAGAAGACCATTCGCTCAACGAGTCAAGTGAAAATGGCTATGAGAATTGGTTCAAGAGCGGTAATTAATTTGAGTGTTCGTGAAGACTCAAGTGAGGTGGTGCAAATCATTGGTAAAGAGTTTGTTATAAGGAAAAACATGGTGAAAGCATTGAAGACACACAATCTTGTGTGTAAAACACTCCATTCATAGTTCTTGGTAAGTTTAGATCCATATGAGTTGTCTATATGTGATCATATCCTTCTCACATATTGAAATTCAAAATAAAGTCAAGGAGTATCGAGGATGAGTAGCCAAGAAGATGGTTCGAATCTTACAAGGGTGTTTCCGACTATATTACTTTGATAGTTATCTTTATCTACCTAGAGTCAAAAAATTGATTTAGTTGGGTAAAGAATTGGCCATGTTGGTCAAAACCCTAGTGATCATTAAGTAAGTGTCTTTTAGTCTTTATCTCTTCCTTTAAAAGATAAGCTTTCTTTTCTTCTAAGTTGAGATAGAATTAAGAGTTTGAGTTCGAGTTGTCTGCATCTTTCCTTCATGCACGTCGGAATAAGGAAGAAGTATGAGAACTCTACTAAACTCTCTTCTAAAGTAAAGGATTAGTTCTTGGTGAGCAAGTAAACTACCCTTTACAAGGGAGTCGAATTGTTCATAGAGAGAGAGCAATAAATTTGAGTTTTTTGACATTATGTCTTTGTATGTCTTTTGACTTTAACGACATACCATCTTTTTGATGGTTTTCATGTCAATGGAGGGTATCCGTTGTTACTTTGATTCTTATGGATTTGAGATTGTTTTATGGTAAACTTTGATGAAAATGTGTTTAGGTAATTATATAGACGTGATGGTCTTTCCTTTTTTTTACTTTGATTCTTTTGAATTAAGGAAAACTAAAATCAGGGTTTATAAGTTTTACAATCAATGAAGATTTCATGAATCTTTATGTTTTTGTTTGAGTCTTTGTCAACTTTAGAGAGAGTTTTTGTCACTTCTATGTTGTTTAGTTTGAAGATTTGACTTTAAATTAATTTGTGTTTAAGATAACTTGAAGAGATCAAATAGTTCTTTGAACTTAATTTTTGGTTGATTTGAAGTTAGTCAAAATATTTTCTAGTATGAAGGACTTTTCTTGGGAAGATTTGACGAGATTGCAATTGGTTTGAAATTTTGTTTCTAGGGTTCATCTCTATGTGTGCTTTTGTGTGTTTCGTGTGTGAGTCATACGGAGAAGATATGAAGTTTTAGGGTTTACACGTATAGGAGTTTCTTTAATGGACATTGGGAATCACTTGTGTATCAAGTATCTAATTGTGTTTGTTTCCTATTTATAGAGTTATATTAAGAAAAGTATTTTTAAAAATTTGAGTGTCTTAGGGTTTAAGATTTCTTAATTTTTTTCTGGTAAATAAGTGGAAAATCCTATCTTCAAGGAGAAGCATTTTTTGAAGTTTATTTCATTATGCGAGAGTCTTATAGTCTTCAAATTTTGTATGCAATCTAAAATTTAACTTGGAAATGGTAGTACAAAGGATGAATTCTAGTCTTATGTGGATTTTGAAAGTCTTGGTTCTTTGTGAACTTAGATAGACAAAAAATGTGTTGTACGCATGATTGATATTTTTGAAAATCAATTACAATGTAAGAAGAAATTTATGGTAGTTAACTAAAATTTTTTTTACTTTGTTGATTTTTGAGTAATTTGAAAGTTGATTATTGTGTGGTGCTCGAGCTTTTGATTCCTAATTCAATTGCGAAAAAGAAATTTTGTGCATTTGTTTATGTGTAGTTCTAATACATTTAGGGTTTCCTAAAACGATGAGAATTTTATTTGTGTGTAAATTATATTTTGAGCAGGCAAAATAATTTTGTGTGTGATGAAAATTAGTTTTGATTTTGGTTTTGAGTCTATTCGTCAAAATAAGTATAAGTTTCGTTTACGGAAATTATTTTCAAAAGAGAAAATTACCTGTTTTTGGAATTTGACCTAAAAAGTTAAATTTCTTGTTGTTTTAAAAACTAATTTGGCCGAAAGTATCGTGTCTTATTTTCGTGTATTATGATCGAAAATGTTTAGGGTTTGTGAAGAAAAGTTCCTAATTTGAGTTACAATAGAACTTGTTGCCTAAAAAGTAGTATTCTTTTCTAATTCGGTTTTTGAAATTTCTTGGAGGAAAAGTCAATGCTTGCCCATGTAAAGGGAGGCATGGCCACAATTTTACATACACTCGCATCAAAATGTTTTGTTCTTTGAGAATCAATTCTTTAGGAATTTGAAGAGATATAATTTTCTTTGAATTTCTCTATTTCTCTTCATCTTTGCGCAGATTTCTTCTGAACTTTTGTGAGGTTACACTACTTAAAAAGTGTTGATAGATATTTTGAATTTTGGGGAGTTTTATTGTCGAATGTTACTTTGATTCAAAGGGTGTTATTAGGGTTCGTTAAACTCAAAAATTTTCTTTGAGTTTGATGTTAGATTACTTGAACTACGAGTGAAGAAACCAAGAGTAAATTATCTTGTTGTAGTAGCCGTGATGTTCTTGAGAGGATGTGAACCGTGGAGCAAGATTTGCGTGCTATGAGACGTAAGAACATGGACAAAAGCATTGAACATGAGATTGTGATGGATCAGATTCTTGATCAATGCAAGGATATGATGCAATCTTGTCAAAGAATGGCTTACAACATGGGTGAACTAGTACATCAAGTAAGTGGATACTTCAATCATTTATCTTGTATAAGTGGTTTTAACTTGTCAATTTCTACTTTCTATGGAGGGATTTATGAGAGAGTTGGATTGTGGGTGAGGGAGATGGAAGTTTCTTTTTTTTTTTTTTTATGTGTTAGCAGTAAAAAAGGACCATGTGAAAATTCCTATACAATCTATGGTTTTTGAAATTTTGATAAAACATGGCATGCTTTAGGGTGATGAGTGTTGTGACTACCACAATAAACCTACTTAAAACTTATAGTAAGTGATAAGAGGGGTCCATACCACAGACACAGGAAACACTTAATGAAAATTGGGATCCAGTACCAATACACAGAACAGAAACAAAAACAGCAAATTGGAAAGTGAGTTTATGACTTGACAAAGTGATGGTGGCCTAGGGTCATCCTCCACTCTACTCTATATGCATATATATTGATTTTTTTAGCTCTCTATGTGGTATGAAATTGTATTCAATCAGGCACATAAACATTGTAAGGTCACTTCTGATGTTCCAGACAGCAGTCCTATTAGTAACCAGTAAACTAACTTCTATTGTCAACTTGAGATTTCTATTAAGCCATTAAGATCTTCGGCCCTTATGTGCCAAACAACTAACTTCCGTTGTTGTTTGAAACCTTGGGCTGTTATCCCCTCGTCACCGGTTAATCCTAGACATTCTAAATTAAGTTTACCCTTCCGGAATTCCCCTAACATGCAAGCACAATTAGTTTGAATGGCATGTTCAACCTAAAGGATAATTGAAACTCTAGAATCAAGCATACAAATATCATCCGAGAGCATGAATCAAAACATAATTATATAGAGTAGAGGGGTTAGACCCTAGCAATGAGTTTAGCTACTCATGGATTGGAGCTCAAACACCACAAGGTTCAGATGTTGAGACCCCATCCTGATTACAACAGAAAGAGAAGAAAACAGGGGAAGAATAAAGTTAGGGAGTGTGATAAAGTACAACTGACTTTGCAGAGTCAGCTTCTCACTTCCCCAAGTGACACCCTAGAGTCTACATGCTAGAGTTACACTCTATTTCTTCCTAACTGAACTTACCACACTAACTATTCTATTTCTAAGTGTTTTTGGTCTTCGATGCCTTCATCTTCAGCTGCTGCTGCCTTTTATAGAGGTTAGGGGAGAGATCTTGCTTAGCCATGTTAGTCTTCTCTTTACCTGATGGGTTTTTATGCAAAATAAAGGAGACCCATACTTCTCCCAACTTCTCCCTTACCTCTAATAGTAACAAGTAACAAGTAAACTAACTTCCGTTATCGACTCTGAATTACTACTAAGCCATTAAGAACTTCAGCCCTTATGATTGCCTCGTGCCAAACAACTAACTTCCGTTGTTGTTTGAAACCTTAGGCTGTTACCCCCTCGTCACCTGTTAATCTTAGACATTCTAAATTAAGTTTACCCTTCCGGGATTCTCCTAACATGCAAGTACAATTGACTAAGTGATCATTCTAATCAAAAGAATAATTAAGACTCTAATACTAAGCACACAAATATCATCCAAGTACAACCATATATAATAACATAGAGAGATTCAAGGGATTAAAACCCCTTTAACAGTTTAGCTACTCATATCCTCACTAAAATGGATATAGAACTGATCCACATAGTCAAGGACATGATTAAAACAAGAAAATACAGAAAAGAAAAGAAAAAAGAGTGTGGAGACAGTCTACT